CTTCACTCCAGTGAGAATACATGCTTTCCTCGGGGTGGTAGAGGATGCAGGGTATCACAGTCACTAGGATACAGAATTCTCTAGAGGTGTTAAAGATGGAGGTTGAGAGGCACGGGGTGAGGCCAGTCCTGGAACATATCCACCATCCATTACTTCCTGGGATTAGCCACTTTATGTCATCCCAACTAGGGGTGGCATTTATGGAAGTGCATAAACTTTGTTTATCTTGTGGCACTTTTCCTTGGCAGGTTCCTTTACCGCTCACATGTTGTAGTGTTAAGCCTATTTTACTGCTCCCCATGAACACTGAGAGGGTTTTTCACTAGTTGATACATTATAGGTGGCATTCAGGCCTATGGCTTCATAAAATGGAGGCTTTATATCATAACATAGCCAGCATGAGGCTGTGAGGTCAGGGCTGGTTGCATTAAGGGTCTCATACATAGCGTGCATCAGTTTCCATAGGGGTTCCTCACCGGCCTGTGCAGCAGGTGCCCAGGGGTTCACAGAAGTATTAATCTGGGGCTCTGTCATTTCTTTCAAGGTGTTCTTGTTATCTGGGTTTTTAGTAGGGGTGGGAGGAGCCAATACCTGATTTGGACCTATAGGAGCTGTTTTTGTCTGAGACTTATGGACAACTAGTTTAATAGTTAGAAGTCCACTTGGGTAAGGGCCGACCCAGGCGAACTGGCCCATATCAAGCTGAAAACTCCAAGTTATCCTGGATATCCAGGACTTTTCATTTTTAGCCCGTTCTTGGTTAAATTGCACACGCACTTGGGGTACTCTGTTGTCAGGGTCTCTGAGGGTGAATTTAACTAAATCTCGATTTCTGACTGCCCACTTCCAGGGCCCATCATTAGAGGTTACACAACTCCAGCTTTTGCAGTAGACACTTTCTAGGCCCCCACAGGTTTTCCAGTTATTTCTTAGATTGCCAGGGCAGGCCCAGAACCCTTGTGCTCGTCCTTGAGCAGTGTCAATAAGTGCCCGTTTTTGCAGGACATGATAATTGTGTTCCCTCCCCTGCATAAGTCCGAAAAGCTCCCTGAGGTCGAAATATAAATCTGGCCACCATGTGTTTAGTGGGGCTGTGTGTGCGGTTTTGTTGAGGGTTTTACCAGTTTGTCCATCCATCAGGATCCATGTCTGCCTATAAGATTGATGGGGATTAGGGTCACTTGGTTTGGCATGAGGAAGGCATAGTATAAGCAACATTAGTGGGGTAAGTGAGAACGGCGCAGTCTTAGCTTTAGAGGATTGTCTTTGTCCGGCTGGCTTTTCCATTCTGGAACAAAGTCCTTGAGAATGGCGTGTGGGTCAGCTGGTCGGACGTGGGTGCAGTGGACCCAGGGAGTAATCCTGTCGACCTTGAGAGTAGCGGGAGTGGTCAGGATCACGATGTAGGGTCCCTTCCAGCGTGGTTGAAGTGTCTGGTGTTGGTGTCTCCGGACGTACACCCAGTCACTTGGACAATAGCGGTGCGGTTCTGGAGGGGGTCCGGTCTCATAAAGAGCTTTCAGCTTAGGCCAGACCTGCTCATGGGTTGGTTGCAACACTTGGAGGGAAAAAAGGAGTTGGTGATCATCAAATTCAGCAAGTACTTTGGGTTTGAGAGTGGGAATAATAGGTGGAGGAATGCCATACATGATTTCAAAGGGAGTAAGTCCCATTTTATATGGGAAGTTACACACCCGATAAAGGGCAAAGGGAAGGAGACTTACCCAGTCTCTGCCAGTCTCTAGGGCTAATTTAGTCAAGATCTCTTTTAAAGTTCTGTTCATTCTTTCTACCTGTCCTGAACTTTGGGGCCTATATGCACAATGTAATTTCCAATCTGCCCCAAGAATCTGTGCTACTCTCTGAGTTACCTTGGAAGCAAATCCTGGTTCATTGTCTGAGCTTATCTTGGCAGGAAAACCATACCTTGGCAGGATGTCTTCTAACAACTTCTTCACCACAGTCTGCACCATCTCATCTTTGGTGGTAAATGCCTCGATCCAACCTGAAAAAGTGTCTACAAACACTAGCAAATACCTGTACCCATATTTTCCGGGCTTTACTTCCATAAAGTTCACTTCCCAATAGGTGCCTGCTCTGTCTCCTCAGAGTCTGGTACCAGGGTTGGACGCCTGGACAGTCACATTTGTCAGTTGGCAAGCCTTGCAGCTCGCTATGATTTGTCCAATTTTTGATTGAGAATCTTTGATAGTGATGTGAGCATGTTGCACCAAGTCTTCCATTTTTCTCATCCCCATGTGTGTATCCTGATGCATTTTGGTCAGGACGCATCGTCCTAACTCTTCCGGAAGAATAATGCAGTCAGCGGCTCTCCACCACCCATTTAGGTAGTTGGTCATGGGCAGCTGCTTGATTCATTTTGTGTCTTCATCATTGTAGGAGGGGGTGTCTGGAAGGTTAGGGGCCCCTGGGTCTGGCAATGTGGTCACTAGGGCATGGTCTACTGAAAGGGCTGCCTGTTTGGCGCATTGGTCTGCCAATCTATTTCCTTTGGCAACTGGGGTGTCAAATTTTTGATGGCCCGGGCAATGAATTATTGCCAGTGATTTGGGTAGCCAAAGGGCCCGTAGGAGGCCAAGATTTTCTTCATTATTTTTTATGGTTTTTCCCTCTGCAGTTAATAGACCCCTCTCTCTATATATGGCTCCATGTATGTGGGCAGTGGCAAATGCATACCTACTGTCTGTGTAGACATTAAGGCATTTGCCTTTGGCCATAGTCAATGTTCTAGTCAGCATCATCAGCTCTGCCCGCTGGGCTGAAGTCCCTGGAGCCAGTGGCTCAGCCCAGACAGTTTCTGTCTCAGTTGTTACAGCTCCCCCTTCATACCTTATTCCATCTTGCATGAAGCTGCTTCCATCAGTGTATCATGTGGCATCTGCTTCTGCCAGTGGCTGATCTCGCAGGTCGGTTCTGACTCCGTGAACATGAGCCAGGATTTCTCCACAGTCATGAAGTGGTGCCTCCCAGTCCGGGTCAGGGAGGAGGGTGGCTGGATTCAGCGAGGCGGGTGTCTGGAACAGAATTCTAGTGGCATTTAAGAGCAGTCCTTGGTAATGCGTTAGTTGGGCATTACTTATCCATCTGTCTGGTGGCTGTCTGAGCACCCCTTTGATTGTGTGTGGGGTAGTTACATTTAATTCTTGTCCTAGTGTTAGTTTGTCTGCATCTTTGACCATAGTAGCTGCCGCAGCGGTGATTTGCAGACAGGGGGGCCATCCAGTGGTGACAGTGTCTAGCTGCTTGGAGAAATAAGCTATAGGCCTTTTCCAAGGGCCAATGTACTGTATCAGCACTTCTTTAGCTACTCCTTTACTTTCATCTACATATAGATAGAAAGGTTTGGTTAAATCAGGGAGCCCCAGTGCAGGAGCAGAGAGTAAGGCCTGCTTCAGTATAGTGAATGAGGTCTCTATAGTCTCTGTCCATGTAAACTCCTGTTTTTCTTTGGTGGCTTCATAAAGAGGTCTAGCTATTTCCGCAAAACCTGGGATCCACAATTGGCAGTATCCTGCGGATCCCAGGAATTCACGCATTTGGCAGACATTTTGTGGGCATGGTATTCTTAAGACAGTCTCTTTTCTTCCTTCTGTGAGTCATCTCTGTCCCCCTTTCAATTTATAGCCTAAGTAGCTTACCTCCGTAACCCAAGGCTCCTAGTGTAGAAAGCAGGTCCTTGGTGCCTTGCAGGCATATCTCCTGGTCTTCAGTGGCTACCAGGATATCATCTACATACTGTAAAAGAGTTAATTCTGGGTGTTTAGATCGGAACTCACTTAGATCTTCATGTAGGGCCTCATTGAAGATGGTGGGCGAGTTCTTGAATCCTTGGGGGAGCCTGGTCCAGGTGAGCTGGCCGCTAATTCCTTTTTCCAGGTCCATCCACTCAAAGGCAAAGATGTTCTGACTCTTAGGTGCTAGAGGCAAGCTGAAAAAGGCATCTTTTAAATCTAGGACTGTATACCAGGTTTGGGTAGGAGGCAATGAGCTGAGGAGGGTGTATGGATTTGGGACCATTGGGTATACATCTGTCACCCACTTGTTTACCTCACACAAGTCTTGGACTGGTCGATAGTTGAATTTGGCTTTTGGACTGGTAATAGGGGGGTATTCCATGCTGACTGGCAAGGTCTCAGTATGCTTAACTCGAGTAATCTTCTAATGTGTGGAGTGATTCCAGCTTTTGCTTCAAGTGGCATTGGGTATTGCCAGACCCTGACTGGATCCATACCCAATTTCAGTTATATAAATATTTCCGGTCTATGTTGAGCTAATCCCACTCCCCCTGTCTCGGCCCAGGCTTGGGGAAATGTCTGTAACCAATATTCTAAGTCATGCATTGGTGATAAGGGTGCCTGGTGCAGGTGGTACTCATCTTCGAGGCTTATAGTGAGCACCTGTATTGGATGTCCTTCTTTGTTTAGAATTTTTGTCCCTTCTGGGTGGAAGCTGATTTGTGCCCCCACCTTGGTGAGCAAGTCTCAGCCTAATAAGGGGTAGGGGCATTCTGGGATGACCATGAATGAGTGGGATACCTGGCCCACGCCGAGGTCCACCATCCTTTGGGTAGTCCATGAATATTGTTTCATCCCAGTAGCTCCCTGTACCCATGAGGTTTTATCTGCCAATTTTTCCTGGGGTTGTAATAGGACAGAGTGCTGAGCTCCAGTGTCCACAAGGAATTCTATAGGTTGCCCCTCCACTTTTAGGGTTACCCTGGGCTTGGGGAGGGGTGCCGAACACCGTCGTCCCTAGTCATCAATGCCTTCAGTACCTAGGATAGTAATAGGGGCCTTTTCGGGTCTTTTATTAGGACAGTCTTTGACACAGTGGCCTTCCTCTTTGCAATATGCACAGTGGTTCTTGTTTAACTTGGGGCGGTTCCCTTGGGTGAGGTCTTCCTTACCTTGTCCAGTGTCCAGTTTCTTAAGGTGTCTCTGTCACTCCTGAGTCGTAGCCAGCAGTATTTTAGCCAAGTTTCAAATTTGGTGGTCGTTTATTCTTGTCTGTAGTTCTTCTGGGCTCTTTCGATTATTAAAAACTCTTTCTGCCACCACTACCAGGTCCTGCAGACTCCTTTCTCCTAATCTCTCTACTCTCTGTAATTTTTTCTCTATGTCTTGAGTGGCTTGGTTGATGAAAGCCATAACTATAGCGGCTCTATTCTCTGGAGCTTCAGGATCCATGGGGGTGTACTGTCTAAAGGCCTCTATGATCCTCTCTAGAAATGCTGCTGGGCTTTCGTCCCTGCCTTGTTGAACATTATATACCTTAGCTAAATTAGTGGGCTTTCGTGCAGCTGCCCTGAGACCTGCCAACAGAGTCTGGCGATAGACCTGGAGTCTCTCCTTACCTTCTGCTGAATTGTAGTCCCAGTTTGGACGAGAGAGGGGAAAGGCAGTATTTATGAGTTCTGGGTTCTGGGTGGGCTGTCTATTGTCACCCAGAAGTGATGTCCGGGCTTCTACCTGGATCCTTTCTCTCTCCTCAGTGGTAAAAAGAACCTGTAAGAGCTGTTGACAGTCATCCCAAGTGGGCTGATGGGTAAAAAAAACAGTGTCTAAGAGGTTAATAAGATCTTTGGGGTTTTCTGAGAACTTAGCATTCTGAGTTCTCCAGTTATAGAGGTCGCTAGTGGAGAATGGCCAATAGTGCATTGGCTGCTCTCCTATTTCATCTGGGGGCCCTGCAGCACGCAGGGGAAGGACAGTTGAGTCAGTGGGTCCTTGACTGAGGGTAGCTCGATGGACCCAACCCCGTGTCCCCACCGCAGGTTCATGCGCAGGTGCTCCTCCTTCAGGAACAGAAACCAGTTCTTCCAGAACTGGTTCCCCTCCATCTGGTTCTACTGACTCCGCCGGCAGGGCAGTTGGGAGGGGCTGATAGGGTGGTGGAAAGATCAACTCCTCTGAGATGGTGTCCTGCAGAACTGGGTAAAGGGAGTGTTTGGTTTCTTTAGGTCCTGAGTCTCTCCGAGACTTTGGGACCGGACCTTGTAGGGCCAAGACTTTGGGCGTGGAGCCTGTCTTGATGGAAGGAAAGGTTTAAGCCATGAGGGAGGATTTTCAATTAGGTCCTGCCAGACTAAGATGTAGGGAATTTGGCCTGGATGGCCCTGGGCTCCTTTCCTGAAGATAACACCTTTCACCTGTAAAAGAGTGGTTAGATCAAAAGTTCCCTCCAGCGGCTAGCCAACGTTAAAGGACGGCCACTCCGAGGTACAGAAGACACAAAATTTTCCCTTCCTGACGTCCGTGCTCAAATTGTGAGCTCTCTCCCTAACATCTGAAAAATGGTCTGTCATGAAAGATAAAGGAGTCGTCTGTGTCTGTCCCATTTCTTCCTTCAACAAGACTAAGATAAACACGATAGCCAACAGACAGGCACCTACAGAGAAGAATCTGCTGCAGCCACGGAGGCAAAACCGAAAGTAAGTTGAGGGCCTGTCGGACAGCAGTGGCAGCCAACTTTCCTCACAGATGAGGACCTCATCCTCCAGATGGGGGCAAGGGACGTCTCCCAAGACCCCTGGTCAGCGACCCAGCAGCGCATCTGCCTAAGTCAATGCCGACCCTGATACAAACTGGAGCTCCTACAGGCTTATACAGGCTTGTTCGTGAACAAAAACAGTGAGACACAGATAAAAACAGTGAGACACAGGTAGACAAAGACAGACATAACTGAGTGCACTCACCAGCCGGCACTGGGCCCTCCAGGTCGGAGTCCTGGGGTCTCTGGGATCCTGGTGAGCCCCCAAAATGTTGTGCCCCAAGTTACGAATCCCAGGAGACCACCAGGGAGCCAACACGGATGCAAAAGCAAAGAGCCTTTATTCGAGCCAGCCCGAGCTCAATCTCACACCTGCTCCAACACAGTGGCCAGGTGCCAGAGAGAGAGAGAGAGCTTCCAAAAACACAAAGGTTTTATGGGTTTCTAGGGCGGTTTGTGGGGTGATGGTCCTGGCTCTGGCTGATTGGCTAGGCTTAGGGATAGTTGGTGGGGTGATAGGTCGTGGCTCTGGTCAATTGGCAGGGTCTAGGGGTGGTGGGTGTATTTCTTGCTGACTGGAGGGGAGAGAGAGAGACCAAGCTCTGATGGCTGAAAATAGGATCCGGGTCCAGATTGGCTGAGGTACGATCTGGGTCCCAATTGGCCGAAGTAGGATCCGGGTTCTGATTGGCTGAGGTAGAATCCAGGAGCTTGCCCTTTAAGAATCCTGCTCATTTGTAGGGCAGTCACAGGGGCCTTCAGGAGTGGGCAATTTTTCATATTGTTGTATTAAGACCAGGAGTTGGATGGTATTAACACGGTTCTTTACAAAATTAATGTTTGTTTAGAATGCAGGGGCCAAAAGTTAAAATGAATACAAGTAAAATAAATGGGCCAACTAGGGTAGAAACTAAGGTGGTGATCCAGGGAGACTTATTAAATCAAGCTTCAAACCAGTTTTCTTGTGCTTCTCTTTCTCTCTTTCTTTTGGCTAATCCTTCTCTTACTTTAGCCATGGATTCCTTTACTACTCCTGAATGATCATTGTAAAAACAGCATTCTTCTCCTAGTGAAGCACATAGTCCCCCTTGTTGGAGGAACAATAAATCAAGTCCTCTTCTATTTTGGAGTACAACTTCAGATAGGGAGGTGAGAGATTTTTCTAAATGACTAATGGAGGTCTCTATTCTTTCTATATCTTCATCTATGGCTGCTCTCAACAAGCAGCCAGGGAGGTTATGCCGGTTCCAGCCCCAGCTACTCCTAAAGTGAATAGGGTGGCAATGGTTAGAGCAGTGATGGGCTCTCTCTTATTTCTTTGGCTTGTGCCTTTACTCCAGTGAGAATACATGCTTTCCTCGGGGTGGTAGAGGATGCGGGGTATCACAGTCACTAGGACACAGAACTCCTTAGGGGCATTAAAGATTGAGGTTGAGAGGCATATCCACCATCCATTACTTTCTTGGTTTAGCCACTTTGTTATCCCAACTAGGGGTGGCATTTATGGAAGTGCATAAACTTTGTTTATCCTGTGGCACTTTCCCTAGGCAGGTCCCTTTACTGCTTACATGCTGTAGAGTTAAGCCTATTTTACGGTCTCCCTATGAACACTGAGAGGGATTTTCACTAGTTGATACATTATAAGTGGCTTTTAGGCCTATGGCTTCATAAAGTGGAGGCTTTATATCATAACATAGCCAGCATGAGGCTGTGAGGTCAGGGCTGGTAGCATTAAGGGTCTCATACATAGCGTGCATCAGTTTCCATAGGGGGGCCTTGGCGGCCTACGCAGCAGGTGCCAGGGGGGCGGTTACAGAGGTATTAGTCCGGGGTTCTGTTATTTTTTTCTAGGTGCTCTTGTTATCTGGGTTCTTAGTAGGGGCAGGAGGAGCCAATACTTGATTTGGACCTACAGGAGCCATGTTTGTCTGAGACTTATGGATAACCAGTTTAATGGTTAAAAGTCCACTTGGGTAAGAGCCGACCCAGGCGAACTGGCCCATATCAAGCTGAAAACCCCAAGTTATTCCGGATATCCAGGACTTTTCCTTTTTAGCCTGTTCTTGGTTAAATTGTACACACACTTGGGGTACCCTGTTGTCGGGATCTCTGAGGGTGAATTTAACTAAATCTCGATTTCTGACTGCCCACTTCCAGGGCCCATCATTAGAGGTTACACAACTCCAGCTTTTGCAGTAAACACTTTCTAAGCCACCACAGGTCTTCCAGCTATTTCTTAGATTGCCAGGGCAGGCCCAGAACCCCTGTGCTTGTCCTTGAGCTGTGTCAATAAGTGCCCATTTCTGTTGGACATGATAATTGTGTTCTCTCCCCCGCAAGAGTCCGAAAAGCTCCCTGAGGTCGAAATATAAATCCGACCACCATGTGGTTAGTGGGGCCGTGCTGGAGGTTTCACTGAGAGTTTTACCAGTTTGTCCATCCATCAGGATCCATGTCTGCTTATAAAGTTGATGAAGGTTGGCCTCTGCGTTGTTTTCTCTCCAGTTGTTGAGCAGGGTCAGGACCAGCAGCCACTTCATTATCAGGCCGGGCGGGAGATTCGGTGTGTTCCCGAGGTCTCGAGATCTGTAGTTTCAAGGGGTTATCAGGGTGCTGCCACATGGTCCACTCTCTGGCTTCTTTGCTCTGGCTGGGTGGCTCGGCGCATGTGGGAGTGGTGGACCCAAGGTCCAATGCCATCAACCTTTAAGGCAGTTGGGGTAACCAGAACAACTACGTAAGGACCTTTCCATCTTCCTTCTAAAGTTCGGGTCCTGTGCCCCCTTACCCATATCCAATCCCCTGGGGTGATGCCATGTTCCGGATTTGGTGTCTTTTGTCTCATACAGAGAGTGCACCAAGGGTCAAATCTCATGTTGGACTTCCTGCAGGGCCTTCAAACTGGCCAGATAATTTGGGGTCACATTAGGGTCTTGGTCTGGCAAGGCACGGACAATAATGGGGGGTGGTCTCCCATATAGGATTTTGAAGGGAGTCAATCTGTGCACATGAGGGGAGTGCTGAACCCGGAAGATAGCATAGGGTAAGAGGGTCACCCAGCCCCCGCCAGTCTCGATGGCCAATTTAGATAAGGTCTCCTTTAGGGTCTGATTCATTCTTTCTACCTGCCCTGAATTCTGGGGATTATATTCAAAATGTAACTTCCAATTGGCCCCCACTGCTTGGGCCAGTCCCTGTAGGACTTTACTGATGAAAGCTGGACCATTATCAGACCCTAAAACCTCGGGGACTCCATATCAGGGTATGATTTCTTCTAATAATGCCTTAGCAACAACCTGGGCCATCTCTCATTTCATGGGGAAGGCCTCTACCCAGCCTGAAAAAGTATCAACAAATACCAGCAAGTACTTATATCCATGCCTCCCAGGTTTTACTTCAGTAAAATCCACCTCCAAGCTCCGTCCCAGCACCCTCCCCCATATCCTTGTGCCTGTGTGTAGGGGTCCCTTCCTACTGGGTCTCATAGCCTGGCACCCGACACATTGGTCCACGATTTCCTGGATCTGGATGGCTTTTCAGGGGAACTTAAGGCAGGTGGACTTGAGAACTGTCAGCAACTTCCTCTTTCCTAAATGGGTGGCTTGGTGCAAGTTGGAAAGAAGGAGCAGTCCTAGTTTTGCCAGCAGTATTAGTCTTCCCTCTGGGTCTCGATGCACCCATGTTGATCAGGCTCTGGGCAGTGGTGGTTTTGGATCCACTGGAGATCTTCTTAGGGCGTAATCAGGTCGTGGGGGCAGGAGCGGAAGCTCGGGTGCGGGCAGGGTGAGTGCCAAAGCTGGTGAAGCTATTGCCGCCTTTTTGGCGGCCTCATCTGCTTGCCGGTTTCCTTCAGCCTCTGAGATTTGGGCAGACTGGTGTCCAGGGATGTGAGCTACTGCAACTGCCCGGGGCTTTTGCATGGCCGCCAGCAACCTCTGTACCTCTGGGAGATTGTGTAGTTCTTTTTCTTCTGCTGTAAGAAAGCCCCTTTCCTGGTAGATGGCGCCATGCACATGAACAGTGCCGAAAGCGTAGCGGCTATCAGTGC